CATTTTTCAAAAGCACAGTGAAAGGAGAAAAATACCTGCTCAATTGTAGGAGAGAGTATATTATAGGGGCTGCCTAAGGGGTACAATGACGGCGCTTGAAGAGAAGGCAGACTATAAAATCCCCAGGGATTGAGCAGCTCATGTTACACTGAACCAATTGTGAGGTTGCAGAGGAGTAGAAGGGATGGGGTGGCTATGCACCGAAGCAGTAGATATGACTTTCTAGGCCCCAGTAAAAGATTGAGGTGATTCAGAGTCAAATCAAGGGATCCTGATTGAAAGGATCATGCATGATTGCAGGTGAAAGATCTAGAAGAGGTGAAGGCCTGAAAATGACAAGATGCAACACAACGGGAGGGGTTAAATGTTCTCACATGGAGGAAAACGCTGCTGCTCACGTAAAGATGAGGAGCAGCTGCGAGTTCAGAAATAGACTTCCCTTGTTCATAGAGATGAAGCATGTTGTATTAAGGAAGGGTGGCATGCACTTGGAAGAGAAGTCGTGTTCTCCTAACAGCTCCAGAATGGGTAACACATCAAAGAAAGTAAGCACATCTGTGTGTTAAAGGAAAAGGCATAATGTTTGCTTTTGATTGTAGTCTTTTTTTTTTTTTTAAATTGCATTTCTATGTAAGTTGCTTGGTACATTTCTATGTAAGTTGGAGGAGAGGGAAAGAACACACTCAATGCAAGTAGCTTCAAAAGCTGCAAAAATCTTTTATCACTTTTTCCTCCAAAGAAGCTCATGGTCTCTGCTGGAATTTCATTTTAGTTCAAAAGGATTTAGTGAAACCCAGCAATATAGATAGAACAGACAAAAGTTCTTAGACTTGTGCAAGATCTCACTGTAAGTCTGGGTGCTCTAGTGTGCTCACAGAACAAATGAGGCCACCAGCCCATGTGCATGGTACATGGCAGATCAGAGAAACAGCCAACAGGAAAAATATCCTCCTAACAACAATTTGCGCGTGGAGAATTCTCTAACAGGTATCACGGTACCATTGAGGATGAAAGTTTCAATTCTTAGTATGGTCAACGATGGACCCACTGTGTTTTTCTCCTTCTAAAATCAAGGTTGAATACCATTTCATCTTGTATTTAGCATGGTTTGGGGAAATATAAATTTTTAAAAAATACGTGCATAAAGAAGCTAGATAAGTTCAAATATCTTCTGTGATAGTTCATTTTCATTTATGGACATATATTTTAGCTTAGCACCATTTCAGTTTCTGCACCAAGCTAAAGGTCCCGGAAGGGCATGTGATGTGTATATATGCTGAGTGTGTGTGTGTCTGGGTGCAGAATGATGGTGAGAGGCATGGAAGGAAGGAAGGAAGGAAAAAAGAGAAGCATGGAAAAAAGCAGCTGCCATACACACAGGCAAAGAGAAAAGCACTAAGAGCAGAGGGCTTAAAATCTACATGTAGAACTCAAGGAGCAAAATCATAACGTATGGAAAGTATCCAAAAGAAAAAGGTGTATGACAGAACAAGGCCCTCAATTTATTTATTTTAGACGATCATTTTAGTTCAATCTGCTCTCAGTTCAAAACAAGAAAAGGCTCAGAATATTTAGAATAATGCTAACAAGATGCCTGAATGTTTCCCTACTTTGTGAAATGTTGACAAAAAACATCTACTCAAGTACTTGGCTACAAATCTGTGCAACAGACCTTTAAAAGAGTAAGCTGGATGACGAAGTAAGGTGTTCTAGGAAAATACATGCACTTCAGTGGAGCTAAACTCTTTTTCTAACTTAACAGGAGATGACACACATATATATTTCAACTGTTTTTAATTTGAGAGGATTTTTTTTTTCTTATGAGTTTCCACCCACATGTGCAGTGAGGTCATATGGTATCTCCTTCTAAATAGCTTTCAAATGGCAATAGGCACTGGAGTACAGAGCTCTGTTCTATACAGATGCAAAGTCACCTGAGGTGTAGGGAAAGGTCGATGTACTAAATTGCAGCCACTGAGCATCTTCTGAGTACAATCCCACAGGCTGTGGGACAACGTAGTTATAGAAGTCCGATTGTCCTTACTAATTGATGAATCAGAAGCAGGAGATTTGCTTGTTCCTTTCCATTTGAGAAATTCCAAAATGTTAGTGCTAGAAGGGCCTCAGGAGTTATCCAGAAACAAATGCCCTCCTTTCACATAGGAGGGAACAGAGTTCCAGAGTAGTCAAGGTATTTCTGCAAGGATTCACTCATGGCAGAGCTGGACCAAAAATCTAGACCCATACTTCTTAGACACCTAGGCTGGTGATCTTTCCAGTATTTACCTGCAATCCAATGTGAACTCTCAAGCTAGACTGCCTGAGTTCTAATCCTGGCTTTCATAGCTGGGTGACGGTGAAGTTCGTTAATGTTGTGAGCTTCAGTCTGCTCATGTGAAAGATGAGGATAATCCTAGCACGTGCCTCACCCGGTTGTTATGAGGACCACACGAGTTAATACATATAAAGCACTTAGGGCAATGTCTTGCATTTAACAAATGTTAAATAAATGTAAGCTCTAATTAGTGTCAACATATGTTCTCTCAAAACAGCTCTAGGAGAGCTCAGGAGTCCATTTAACACATTTCTGTAACAGTGGAACAAAAAACCTGAGCATAACCACGTACAACAAACAGAAGGAAGAACAGCTTCATTTTACCTGTATCACCACTTCCCCTAGGCTGGCTCTGCTCACTGAGTGCCTGAAAAGAACTTCCCAGCTACACAGAATTATCCTTGCTGGGAAAGGGGGTGAGATGACCAACCAGCTCCCCCCGGGTTTTGGGGCACCACAGGAAGGATCTGAGTTTCACCCCACTGCTCCCCCCGCCCCAGACAGGCAAAACTGAGGCAGAGCTGGCTAGGAATAAGGAAGAGAAGGGATTAAAATTGGTCACACAGTGGGAGCAACCAGGGTTCTCAGTGACCTGCTCTGAAGAGGACCCCAACAGATTTTGCCATTGAAAAAAACAATGGCTTATTTCTTTTTTTGGGTGTTGAGTTGTATAAGTTCTTTATATATTTTGGATACTAACCCTTTATCAGATTTGTCATTTGGAATTAACTCCCATTCAGTAGGTTGTCTTCTAGTTTTTTTCACTGTTTCCTTTGCTGTGCAGAAGCTTTCGTTTGATATATTCCGAACAGTTTATTTTTGCTTTTGTTTCCCTTGTCTCAGGAGACCTATCTAGGAAAATTTTGTTACGGCTGATGTCAGAGAAATTACTGCCTATCCTCTCTTCTGCGATTTTTATAGTTCTAGGTCTCACATTCAGGTGCTTAATCCATTTTTAGTTTATTTTTGTGTACGGTGTAGGAAAGTGGTCCAGTTTCCTTCTTTCGCATGTTGCTGTCCAGGTTTCATTCTCGACACCCAAAAATATATATAATCCAATTAAAAATGGGCAGAAGAAATGAACAGATATTTCTCCAAAGAAGATATCCAGATAGCCAACAGACACATTAGAAAATGCTCAGTGTATCACTAATCATCAGGGAAATGAAAATCAAAACCACAAGGAGGTATTATCTAATACCTGTCAGAATGGCTAAAATCAAAAAGGCAAGAAATAACAAGTGTTGGTGAGGATGTGGAGAAAGGAATTCTCATGCATTGGGACAGCCACTATGGAAAACAATATAGAGGTTCCTCAAAAAATTAAAAATAGAACTACCCTATGATCCAGGAATTACATTATTTGATATTTTCCCAAAAAATACAAAAACACTAATTCAAAGGAATATATGCATCCCAATGTATGGCAGCATCATTTACGATCACTAAACAATGGAAGCAGCCCGTGTCCACTGATTAATGAACAGATCAAGAAGATGTGGTATATATACACACAATGGACTATTATTCAGCCTTAAGAAAGAATGAAATCTTGGTATTTACAACACGGCCATCTAGAGAATATAATGCTAAGTGAAATAAGTCGGTCAGAGAAAGACAAATACCATATGATCTCACTCATATGGAATTTAAGAAAGAAAACAAATAAAGAAAAAAAAAAAGAAAGAAAGAAAGACAAACCTGAAAATAACGCTTAACTATAGAGAACTAATGGTTACCTGAGGGGAGGTAGGTGGGGTGATGGGTTGAATAGGTGATGGGGATTAAAGAGTAGACTTACCACAATGGACCAAAAAATGATTTAAAAAATTAAAAATGAATACAAGTTTCAAATTTTTAAAAATAGGTACAAGGAACAATAGGTTTAACAGAGTTTCAGATGCCTTTCTTGGAACTATGGGATCTTAGTTATCTTCTAATACTCATTCTAGTCAATAAGTTTGACTAATCTTTGATGTCCGGCACAGTCACTTCTGAAATACAAGTACATTTCACATTTTATACTTTTGTAATTTACCTTCCTTTTTGTTTTACAGATAGTAATTCTTTATTCTTATTGGACTTTTTTTTTTTTAATTACTTTGATAGTATTCCTAGCTCTTACTTGTTCTCCCTCTTTCATTGGGCCATCTTTTCCTGATTTTGAATTGTCCATTTACTTTAGAGATCTCTTCTACCCATATGTGAAAAAGAAGCAACACTCTTTTTCAAAAATTTATCCAAGGAACTGATCATGACATTGCATAAAAGATCTGAAAGTTACTGGGATATGAAAATATTCATTAATGAAATAACCATCTATAAAATGAATTTCCACTCAAACATCTTTCCCTACTTAATTCCATTTCATCAGCATTAAAATCTTGGCCTTTTAGTCTTTCATTGGTCATGAAATGTTGTGACCATCCAATAAAGTATGTCAAATACAATGCAAGTATAATGTAAATAGATTATAAAGTGCTATTATAAGTCTTACAAAGATTTACTTTCCTATATTGATATTTATTTCACTTCTAGTTTTATACTTGCATGTTTCAAAAGGCTCCGGATACAAGAAAATACATAGAGAAAGCAAATTTTATTTTCCAAAAACAGCTGCAATATTATTTCCAACCACACATGCTTTTCCAGAATATAGCAATACCGCAGTAAGAGGTGGAGTCTGTGTCAGCATCTTGCCTTGTATCTTTGAATCTTGAGCTGCTACATAAGAAAACGTGCTGTCCTGAATTTGCCATGCTGGAGGGCTCATGCAGGGAAAATAAAGGGGAAGAAAGAGAGAGATCGAGATCTTCATGAGACAGGACTGCAAACTGTTCCAGCCCCCAGCTGTTTGAGCCTTCCCAACCCATGAACCAGATAAGTGAATGAGCGTTCAGATGTCTGCAGTTCCAGCCACCATCTGACTGATGGTGAGAAACTCTAAGCAAGAACATGCTAGTAATAAATGATTGCTGTTCATGTCAGCTGTTAAGTTCGGAAGATTTGTTATGCAGAAATAGGAAAGCAACAGATTTTAATACTTGGAAGTAGGGCGCTACTTTAACAAAACCAAAAACATGGCAGTGGCTTTAGGCCCAAGCTACATGCAACCATTGGAAGGGCTCTGAAGAGAGAGCTAACGACAAAGCTTGATAGACTTCAAGAAGACTTTTGGCACACATTTAAAGGAAAGTTAGGAAAATGCTGTCAAAGCTGAAGGAAAGGGAATCCCACCATATAGTGAGAAAAGTTTAGTAGCATTGTTGTCTTTGATGGTATGGAAAACATTATATGTATAATGAAATGGTCTATTTACCTAAGGAGATTTCTAGGCAGAATACTCTTAAGTGCTTACTAAGTTTTCTTTAAGCTGCATATGACAGAGAGGTTATTTTTTAGTAAAGGAAATGTTTAATATTCTACATCAGTTTACCCTATGGTAAACTGTGAAGTGTGCCCCTTCTCCTAAATCGCAAGATTTCAACAGTTTATAGAGATAAAATCTTGAGAAACCTACATGGAAATAGATCTTAAGGGCTTTAGATCAGGTGGATGGAATATAATGAATCAAACAAAACTCGCTCGTACAGAAGTACTATGTCAAGATTCTCGATCAATATATTAATTTGACTGGCTACTGGTAGCTCTAAGAGTTCAGTTAGATGACTGACATACAGGCCCAAAGATGAACTACACTAAATGAAGGTGAAATTCTAAATTTCTTTGGAATACCAAAGAGAAAAGTATCTTTAGGCTTAAGGAGATCAGATGTTAAAGTAGATTTATTACGTAAGGTCTATTTTAACCACGCCTCAACTGTACCTGGCAGGTGCATCCTGAGAACATTTCTTGACCAACTTCTGCATGAAATGCATTCATGAGGGGCGCTCTGGCATCCTTGAAGAGTCCTGTGGTGGCTCTTCTCTGTAAGCCAAGAGGGACAGTGCTGCTGATGTAGAATCCATATGTATTTTACAGTTCTCTCCATCTCACTTTTACTCCACACCCTCAGGCATTCTTACTTTCAAGATTACTAAAGATACACCTTCATTCTTTCTCTACCTCTGTTCTCAACAGTTGCTCCTCCTTATGTCCCAATCTAATGTTTTTCTATGAGTTCCAATGTCTTAATTAGAAAAAAGAAATAAATCAGAAAATGTGTGTCCACTATCTGAAAAATCTACACAGTATAAACTATTTAAGGTTAAAAAAGAAATCACATTAAAAAAAGGTTGATGTGACCCATAAGGAAAATAGCAGGAGATTGTCTTCAGATATGGAGGCATGAATGTTATAATACCTGATTTTGATAATCAAACAAGGTCATCTCCTTTTATTTGAGTTGTATCACTTTGGATACCTACTTCTCACACCAGTTCAGGGTATTAAAGAATCAAAATTTCTGCATTTTGACTCTTAATACAGTTAAACATTTGCAATAGTTTGGAATTTTTATCTAAAATAAAGGTTAAACTTAACAGAAAAATTCCTTTATCTCTAAACCTCCAAGAAAGTGTCAAGAATCATTCCCAAGCATATGGCCAACTGATATACATCTAAAGGGTCTCACGAGAAGATTTTTATTATTGGTAATAATTTCTCCCAACAATAGCTAGCCCCCCCAAGGTCCTGGAGACCTTGCTTCTGAAAGTCCTTGGAGACTTATATCATCCATAATCCCTTTTGTCCTCACCGAGTCCACCCCTACATTCCTTTAAAAACTCTGACTGTAATCTGGTTCGGGGTCCAAGTCCCTACTCTGTTGTGTCGGGTATACTTGGGCCCAAGCAAAGCTTGTCAAATAAACCCTCGTGTGATTGCATCGGTGCTTGGCTCCTTGGTGGTCGGTCTCTCAGACGCGAAAACTCGGGCATAACAAATCGACTTAAGAAAATCAATATAACTGCAAGAAAGGGGTCTAGATTAACAAAACAATCCTTTATCGCTGGCTGCGAAACACCCATACACACACGTATGGAAGCAAACCATTTTAACCGATGTAAGGGGTAAGACAAAGAGAGATTATAATCTAAATGCACTTGATACTTGCTATCCTGGAATATTGCATTTTGTTCCAGAGAACATATTTCATGAGAAATACTATACTAGAATTTTCTCAGAGGAGAGAGACCAGGGAGGGAACCAAAACTATATCCTAAAAGAGTGAAAGATAACTGGGACACAGTCCAGTCAGTTGTAGAAAATAGTGAGAACAAGTCAGAGAGCTTGAAGTATTGGGAAAGCTATAAAACAGTTCCTGGAAGGGTTGTTGTAAACATTTAAGGGATGTATGAAAAGCATCTGGATTAAAAGAAATATGTTCTTATTAGATGCAGCTTTAAACGCTGAAAGGAATTTTAAGAATTATAGAAATCAGAATCAGGACTAAGCTGGAAAGAGGCTAGATTTCTAATTTTCTAGGAATTTTAACTATCAAAAATGAAATCTAGTACCTTGTGAGGTAGTGAAATTGCTAATGCAAGTGTTTTAAGTTGAGGCTGAGTTACTACCTTCTTGGATATTGTTGATGGAAATCTTGTCTTGGGTGGGAGTCTGGGCTATGAAACCGCAAATGACATTTTCAGCTCCAGGGCAACGACTCCCATTTGCCTTATGCCACCCGGACAACTCTCTTCTTTGGCAACTTAGCTGACCCATGATGTCACATCCCCCCCCCCCCCTTTTTTAAGTACCATGTGGATCATAGGCAGTTAGTTAGTTCACTACAGGGGGCTGGGAAAAAACTACTGTTAAGCACAGGATTACTCAGTTATAGAGGACTTTAAAATAAAAATACAGATGGGTCACTTCTTGTGAAGCCAAGAACCATATTACATATTCATTACAAATCCTTTTTGTAAGAATTTTAATGAGGACAGTTTTTGGCATTTGGACTTCTAATCACATATAGTAACATAGTACTATAAGAATAGTAAATAATGAAAACTACTGAGCAAACATGGAAAATAATTCAAGTATAAATTAATTTTGTAAAATTAAATATAAAAGTAGACTTATAAGTAGGAATTATTACTAATTATGTCAACATTTAGTAGAGTCTTTAACTTTAGCCAATCTAATGGGAGTAGTGACATTTCACTGTGGTTTAATCTGTATTTCTCTTAGTACTGTCAAGCTACAGTACCACAATGGTGTCAAGCTACTTTTCCTGTGTTAATTGACCATTAGCATATCTTCTTTGATGACAAATCTATACAAATCTTCTATTTTTTTAATTGAATTGTTGTCTTCCTATTATTGAATTTTAAGACTTCTTTATTTATTCTGGATATAATTCTTTTGTCTATGTGTTTCAAGTATTTTTCCCCAGTCTGTGGTTTCCCTTTGTCTTCTTAATGGTATCTGGAAGATCAAACATTTTTAGCTTTAATGATGTCTAATTTATCACTTTTTATTCTTTTATATTCTATGTTTTTCTGTTCTCGTACAATTATCATGTTTGGTGTATGTGTGTGTGTGCATGATGTATGGTTATACAGTTTAACATGCAGTACCTAGCTCAGCGATACAAAACCACAGTAACATTTTCAACTTTGTAGCTACCTTTCCTTGAATAGAGCCTGCAATTTCTCAGGTTCTACTTAAAAGTAAAGCTGTTATTTTACATCATTTTTCTAAAGGGATATTTGTGGTTTCCATGGGAACATATACATCAGTAATGAGGCATTTAAAATGTTTCAAACAAATACATTTACATGGCATCTCTTTTAATAAACAGGATTGATAGCCTAAATAATTACTGCCCACCAAAGAGCTGAAATTGAGATTATAACCTTTTGTAAGTGCCAATGAATTTCAAGTAGGAATCATTATAAAGCTAAGTATTTCCTTTTAAAGACCTTTAACAATTCTCATTCGTCTAAAGTTACTTATGTGTAAGAAATATTCTGCAGTTAGCAAGTTTTATATCTCATCTAATTTTCATTGTAGTTAAAGCTGCTGTAAAGATATCTTTCAAAGCTTTAGTATCTATGTGAGCTGTCAGTTATAATTGTAAACCAACCATAAAACAATGTATAATTTGCATTTACAGAAGAGAACTTTTTTCTTCTTTAAAAAGAGGCAAAACAATTTTTTTAAAGTAATTTTTGCTTACATCAAATTGCTTTTCATAAAGACTCAATAGTGTCTGGAAATGCCAAAAATCCTTGAAATTAAACTCAGTGGAAACATGTACAGAATAGAGTTGGTTACCTCTCACGTACGTGTTTTTGGTAACTCATTCGCTAACTAATCAAATATATAAGTATATATATTTTAAATTAACTACACGTATATATTTTATTTGTACACTCAGAATCACATTAAGATATCTATGAATATGGCTGGTCCCAACTAACTCCAATGTTACATTTTAATCTACCACCTATATTATTTTCTTAAGGCAAAAGAGAAACAAGAGAAAGGACTAGGAAGGCCTTAAAATTAAACTTGATTTCCAATGTAGAAATGCCTCCAATAACATACAACAAAAAACCATAGTTGAGTCCTTTAAACAAGAACAGTTGGGAAATGTATTTGACCTCTTGAGTATCAGTCCCATTATCATATAGATCTAATTACTGGAGAGGTCTTCTTTATCTTAAGTATTCAAATCTATGTTCCTATCACCTTCTGATCCTAATTTTGTTGTCTAAAACTACAAAGAAAAATATATTCCCCAAATCAATTTAACAATAGTAAATAATCATGGAACTTAGCCTGTGGGGGGAAAAAGAAAACAGAAAAGCAACTATGTAGTCATAGATATGCTAAATGAACTTGAAGCCAAGGAGAGGCTGCCCCAAAATGTGCCACTTTGTCATGCATATTATTTTGAACTGAAAACAATGAAAGCCTAAGAGATTCAGGAAGAAAACTTTGCCTTCCCAGTGCCTTCCAGCTGCCAAAAGAATTCAGATAGGAAGATAGCTATCACCATAGATATGGAAGAAAACTACATTATAAAAGGAACTAGGTACTAGATAGGGAGAAACGGAGCAAGCCCTGTTTGGTTGAAGTCTTCTATGTCCCATTGTTTCCAAGTTGCCTAACAAATAATGTGTTTACCAAACATTTACACTTTTTCATCTTCCTGATCTTCCTGTGAATTGCTTTCCTTCCCTTTTAAGTCCCAGACCCCTCCCCCTTCTCCTTAGTTGAGAATGACAGGTATACCACACGTTACCAGGCTCTCTTTGTAGTGTCATGTTTGCATGGATTCCTGGTACATACAAAATTAAATTTGATTTTTTCCTGTTAATTGATCTCAGGTCAATTTAATCCTTAGTTCAGTTAGAAGAACCTTGTAGGGTAAAGAAAAAATTTTTCCTCCTGAACAAACTCAAGCTGGGTCTCAAAAAACAAGAAACTGACCTAAGAATTTATCATAAGGAATGATCCTGTGCAGATGCATTTGCTAGTAATCAACACACGAAGATATGGAATGGGAGGTGTTTGTAAATATGGAAATGATTTTAATAAAATGATTAAAAAAAATACTCTAAAGGCATCAAAGATTCAAACTAAAGTGCCACTCGGGATAAGTTTCTCACCCCTCCCAACAATATCTTATTAATTCCTCAATAATAAAATGCTATTTACTCTCAAATACAAATTAAACTTTTAATTCACATGTCCAAGGAAACAGATGCTATTTTGAGGCTTATTTCTTCTTAGACTCTGATTCTCAAATAGCAAGCAATATTTTAAAAAACAAAAACAAAACCATGGAGTCAACAATAGGTTAACTGCTTGCCCCATACATATTTCTAATTAAGCAAATATTAGTAAAGCAAACAAAGGAGATTACTGTACATAAAACTGAGGGAACAAACATCTTGGTTGAAAATATGTGCCAAAGGGGGCGCCTGGGTGGCTCAGTGGGTTGAGCCTCTGCCTTCTGCTTGGGTTATGGTCTCATGGTCCTGGGATCGAGTCCCATAT